AACCGAGGGATTACTTCGTATCGGGGTTTTCGCGCGCCGGGAAATTATCCGCGAATGAAGACTGGAAGCCGTGGAATAAAGCCGCGACTACGGACTCCCATAAAGATGTAACACATCGCCCGTAAAACAAACCGACGAGCTTCGCGCGCACACCGTTTCCTTCCTTCCTCCTAATAAAGGTCACACAGAGGGGTACGGGCACATGCTGTAAAGAGAAAGGGCCGAGCTATAGGTGAGTTAATTCCATCAAGGGAGACCTGATTCATTATCCAATATCGGATGTCGTAAATTCTCGGTGAAATAAATTATCGTACTGAACGCGTCACGCTGACCCCGCTCGCATTTTGAGAATTTCAAGAGTCCATCTCGTACACTTTATATTCTTTAACCGATTCTTTTTCTTGAGCAATTTTGACGCAACCTTTCTTAAAATTCCAAAAAACCTCAAAAGTGTTTTCAAAAGAGAGGCTTTAATCTTTCTTTTGTATTTCGTTCCTATACTTTCGCGAAAAGTATCTTTACGACAAAAAGAATTTTTTTCGACCAAAAGGTTACCTCTGAAAAATCTGTCTTATAAATCAATCATTCATGTAAATGATCTACATCATGACCTTCGGTCCCTGGAAAGAAAAATAAAAAGAAAAATCAATCACAATGGTGATTGAATAATGATGAGATGTTTTTGAAGTGTCAGAATCCGCGCGTTCATTACTTCCATTATAATACATTTCACCTTCACTTACAAATTTCTACGAATCCCAGCAAATATTAGTTTGTAATAGCAGCAGTTGAGAGCTACTAAAAGAAGAATTATAGTTCCATTTGCTTTCTCTCACACTATAGAATAATAGGACGTTCTTAAAAATTAGAATGGTGCAAGAACACGGGTCGACAGGACTCCTTTCTCGATTTCTGTAATAAGATACGCGTCAAACGATCATTATTTGTCTACTTCGGGTATTAATCTACCTCGTCAGAGGAGATTCCATTATCCCTGCATGCCAAAATATTGTGTCAAGGACGCAAGGGGAGGTTTTATCACCCCGGTGGTCGGGTGGTTCGCAAGATGCATCAATTCGACGTGGCGCGGCGAGCCACGTGCGAGCGTTACGACGCTGCGTCTCCTTATCTCTCTTGTATTGTATCTCGAATGAATCCACCGGCCACCCGGCTCGAAGGGGCTGTCCTTCGAGCGTATGTTCGCGACTGTACAACAGAGAAGGAGAAAGAGAGAGCCTAAAGCGAGAGAGAGAGAGAGAGAGAGAGAGAGAGAAGGGTCGCGGGCTTATCGTTCGTCGACCGACCGAATTGCTTGCGTTGGGTGGCAGCCAATACGGCGACTCTCGTCAGCGATATCATCGCTTCTCGGTCCTTTCATCCACGAGCGCTATGGGCTCTTGCCATTGATCGGCCATTTGCCATTCGGCGCCCATGAGAACATTCATTTATTTCGCATTCGCTAACCGTACTAACTTGCTTTCGCACCGACTACAAAAGAATCGCGCCCTATATAATGTCGCATCACGCTCTTTTCGCTTCTTTATTAACGCGCACACGACGCATATTGCGTTCTCATCGTGTTTTAACAAGTTCACGCTTTCGTGCTGATCAATGCGAGTCGCTTCTCTCGAGACGTAAAGACGTAAAGCGTATAGAAATAATTTCATCGAAATAAAAACGTTTTTACTCTTGAAAATGCAGCGATCAACGTTCGCTCAGCTTGAAATAACTGTGCGATATCGTGCGGGCGCGAGACGGAATCGTCTGCTCGCCTCCCTCACAGTCGCGAGAGAGAAGGAGACAGAGAGCGGCGTGCTCCGAAATCGTTTCTCCGGAGATGAGGGAGAGTACCTCCTCCTTATTTACGGCGAAGCGCGATAATAGCGCGGATGATGGGGCCCCCGTCCCGAAGCGAGATACCGAACGTAGCCATGGCAACCGCTGCCGTGGCCATATTGGTCCATGGCCAGCTATCGATAATAGGAAAGATAAGAGGCAGCCCCCGGGCATCCGGGATATTTTATTGTCGGCAAAATGGCGTCCCGGAGTCTCCCGCTTTACGCGAACTGTCCCGTACGCGGTGAATCCGTCGTTTTTGCAAACTGCCCGCTGACGTGGTATTAACGGAAGGAATACGGAGAATTTAATTATCTCCCGACACTAATATCCTTTGACTGTATATCGCTGTGTGCCGCGAAGGGAGGGTAAAGACGAATTGGAAATGTTATTTCGATAGCAAGTGTCTTAACACATAGCGGATGGATGACGAGAATCTCGCATCTTTTATTTATCATCAAGAGCAGTTATTACTCACATTCAGTAACTGTGAACAAACTATAAGTAAAATATTTTAAAAATATTTAACGCAAGAAATACCTACTGGATGCAATAATTAGTAATAAAATGTCTACTCAGCAATGTGTTAATACGCTTGGCATGTAAACTAACAATAAGTAAACTTTAAGATGTCTTGTATAAAAAATTCTTCTATATAAACATATATATGTCATGAAATATTCGTAGTATATTAATGATATTAAAATCCGTATTACATTTAAAACTTACATTCAATTGCCGAACAATAACAATAATAATGTTAATTATAATCGGTGAAAGATTTTGACGAGTCATAATATAAATGGAATAAATGCGACACTATGTAGCTTATAAAAATCAAAATACAGAAAATGATTATAAATGTTTGTTAATTCAGTGTATATTGCGATTTACAATTTATATAAATGAGATATTTCGTTGTTTACTGAAAATATATCGCGCGGATATTTAGCCACTCGAAGGAAAATAGCTCGAAATGATAGAGAGAACAAAACTGTAAATTATATTAATAATTTGGAAGCGACGGTTGTTTATCAAAATAAATATTTTTGCGCGAATTATATCTGAAATCAAAGATAGTAGAATAAAAGATATAAGTAAGTTATATACTTACGTGTATGATCATGGAGCCGTTCCATGATGCCTCTTTTATTCAGCTTTTATTTAGAGTATTTAGACCTTATTCGTTGTGTCAAGCTACTATACGTATAATGGAATACAGTTAATGTCATTTTCAGGATTTTTAATTAATGGGATCTCGCGAATGCGAAACGGATCGATCTGAGGTGTCGCGCGTTTAATTAAGAAATATACATATATTATTTTCGTGTATTTTAATTTTTATTCGATTTTCAACTACATAACGTTTCTTACATCAATAATTCGTTAAAAACTCTTCGCCGATCATAATAACGATATTTTACACGAACGTATAAAGTACTTCTAGTCGCGTATAAAAGTAAACAATTACAATTAAGTCAAGAAATTAATAGAATCGCTTTCCATCGTTTTGTGTCCAATCGCTTCACTTTGCCACATTCCGAAAGTTCTAACTTGGGTTATTCATTCCCTCGGGGAAGGATTACTTGCGCAGTAATAAGATATCGGTGACAACACCGTTACGTATTTCGTGGCAAAGTGCAGAAGTTGTGAAACAACAGAAGATTGTTCAGCACGTTGCTGAACAGGGTGCTCGTCGGAAGCTCGTCACTCTTACCGTTTCTCAGAAAGGATAAGTGCCAGATCAGCAATCTTTGATATAATTGTTTGGTATAATTAATTTCATATAATAATAGAATAATATAATAAAATGTAAAGCATAAAGTCAAATTGCATTAAAAGATAATAATAATAAGGCAATATTCTTGCGCATTTGTGTCTCGATGTCAGCCGAGATTCACGATATTACGTATTTTTTACAACTTACAATATTACTCAACGCATAAAAAATGATTGAGAAACGAAACTATATATATAAATATACGTATGAAAAATAAAACTTATAACCTACTTTCGTACTATTATAATAGTGCAAATAACAAAAAAAAATGGAAGAAAAGGGAAATGAATATTATATATAGGTATATGTACAAATATACATATAATAATATTAAGCGTATGTTCAATGAAATTAGTTGTCATGGATGATGAGAAGCTTTATATTATACATATTTACTTACGATATATACTCACGTCCGCGCATGTACGTATATACTGTAAGTAAATACAAGAAAATGTATAAAGGCATACTTTATAAACATGCACTTATTTATACATATGTTCAACTGAGCAAGAAATATCTAATGAAATTTTGCTCGATGTTGCCCTATTATATCATAAATATATTAAAATACGTATTTATATACAATATTCATTTGTTCTCTTTTCTTCATTTCCCTTCTCGCGACTTCTCTTTCTTTAAATTTTTTTTTGTATTTTTTTAAGTCGAAATTCTTCTCGTACTATCTACTTGTCCCAACAATGTTCTGAAAAATTTCTGATCTGGCACGTGTTTTTCATGCACACACATAACAACATTCATCCCATTATATTGTAATAAATTTACAAATGTATATCTTCAGATAGGGATCGATCTGTCTTTGCAAAAGATAAATTAATAGATGTATCGTGTACATACACCCTGTATATTACATCATATCACGGTACTTTAAGGAGTGACGTGAGGACTCGATTGTGCAGGCGTGCAAATTCGGGATCGTGGAAATGTACGCGCAGTCAAAGGTCCAAGACACGAGCTATTTGAAGTTCACGATGGCGTGAATCTCAGAACAAAACCCACTGTGAACCGCCACATTGGCTACCTAGCGCAACGCGCTCTCCCCAATTATCCAAATTCCTAATTATCCCCAATTATCGAGAAACATTAAACCGTCATTAAGAAGGCTGAATGTATTCGCATGAATAAAAAAGTAATCTTGAACGCGTGTTGTATGTACAAGTGTACATACCCGCGTGCGTAATATATGCACAAAGAATAGCTGTGTGATGTATAACGTAACATAAAGGATGGATATTTGGGGGAAGCGCGTATTTTGCATATCTACATATATACAAATACATGTACATATGTATACATATATTAATTATGTGCAGTTATCGCCAATCGTGGTCGTCGCAAAATGTTTTATATTTGTTCAATGATTTTATATCGTACCGTTTCGATCCCTTTTGTCTTCCGTGTCGTTCTTGTACGGCTGAAACAACTTGGGCTGCGGTGCCTGCGATGCTTGCGATTGCTGCGACTGTTGCTGCTCCTGCTCAAGCTTGTTCAGTGACGACGAGGGCGGCGACGAGGACGTCCCCGATGTCGAGGGAATTGCCACGGGATTGTACGAGGTGCTCGTATTGTTCTCGAAGGGAATTACCGTCATCGGTACACTCATACCGTTCACTCTCAGCGGCTGCGGCTGCTCGCTGCTGCTGATCGTGGGTCTGTTTGCCTGCGGCATCAGGGGCGACGTCACGGTCACGGGCACGTTTACGCGGTGATGCGAGTGGTGCGGATACGTAGGCGACTGTAGACGCGTCGTGGCGTAATCGCACTCGCCGGAGGAGTCAGAGTTGACCGGGCTGATTGCAAGTTCCTCCAGCAATGGCTGCCGGCATGGCGGCAAAGAGTTATAAGGAGGCGTCGGGAGATTGCTCATCGTGGAGAAGGTGGAGGACCCGGAGACGGGCATATTCAGCATGTGCAGGGACGACATCGGCTGGTGCGGATACAGCAGGGGCGGATACGGGTTCGTGCGTGGGTGCGGCCGATGGAGCGAGGCGACCGGACCAGTCTGCTGGTGATACGCCTGCAACCGGGCGTAATAGTGCGCGGTGGCGGCCGAGAATGACGTCGGCGAGGGGGCCAAATGTGCCGTCGCCGATATATTCGCCGGTAGATTCGCCGGTAGATTTGCCGGTAGATTCGCTATATTCGGTAGATTCGCCGCGGAGACGGGCTGACAGAACGGAGCGAATATCGCCGCTATGTTTGGGTCCGCATACGCTACGTGAAAGGGCCAGGCCAGAGACATCCGCTGCCTCTTGTCCTTCATGCGTCGGTTTTGAAACCACACCTGCAACAAAAACGATTAGACATGATAATCACGATTAATTGCTTTTTTTTTTTTAATTAGAACTCGCAATTAGATCATCAAGACGAAACTTGTCATAAAAATATACGTATGCGATATTAGAATATGTATACCTAAACAAGTTTATAATGTAGAATGCGACAAGTACAGAAATAAAGGTAGAATCTTCGTCTGGCGGATTAGTTCGATAATCACGGCCGTTAAAAGTTTCTCTCGATAACTCGCAAGAAAATAATCAACGGCCTCCGCTGTCCGTCGTTTAGCTCTTTATTCGACGTTTATATGGGAACCGATCGAGTTCTCCTTCCGCTCGATAACGAATATTAGAGTATAAAAACTGCTGCTGGTTTTACCGAACGAGAGTTGGCGCTTGTATTTCTATAGATAAGCACTCGGACACACGTAATCTATAGATTCACGAATGTAGGGAATTCTCGGAGGCGGCGAACGATTATACCGGTAATTCGTGCGGGACGTTTACCGTCGTTTAACACCTCTCCGCCGTTCCCTCCTCACCCCGTTGCCCCGTTGCCGTTTTACGACCCGCCAACCGAGGCGAGTGCGAGCGCTGCCGCGAGACGAGAAATTAAGAGATCCATTAAAGTCCGAGGTGGGCCGCGAGGCAGTCGCTAATTGAGCCGTTTAACACTTTCGCCCGACCGGTCACCCCTCGATCAGGGCCGTGACTAAACCGACGGTCCCCGTTGAAACGTTAATACGTGGCCACGGTACCTATACATTTACGTAAAGAGAAAAGTCCTCGTTTCGCCACGACGAGATCTCCGTATGGGATCTGACGTTACGGCACTGCCGCGGGACACGCGAGAAGAAGGATCAAAGGCCGTGAATCGCGACTGTTGAATCGCTCTCGAGGCTATAATCGCCGATCAAATATGGCCGCAGCTGGCCGCGGCAAGAAACAACCACCGGGAGCTCTCCGGCGGGCCCGCGCGAACAAAAACGCCACTAATTGCATCTATTAAAGCCGGCCGGCTTTAGAGGCCCCCTGTCTTCGCGGACGCGACGGCCGTGAGAAATCAAATCGAGATACATGCGGAATAATATTATTCAAATAACTTCTGTAAAAGAGACGAAGCTGAAAAGGAGAAAGTGATACCGCAATAAGAAGATAGATAACTGCAAGGGAGAAAATGTATAAAGTGCGCCTTTTAGCCGCATAAGCGTACTTGCTATTAATAATCGTTAAATGATCGAAGGATTTTCTTAATAATCCCTCGCGAATTCAAACACGAAAGCGCTAATGGAAAATGTTATTGCACCGGCCACGGATGAAGTCACTGTTTAACAAATCTCGTGCGAATAAACGTTTGCTCATTCCCGATCAGCTCACGCCGATCGATCACAATGTTCAATCTAAAGTTTATTTAATAGACGAGATTTTAATAGAAGGCTGATAGCGGCTCACAAACGCAAACTTTCAGTAAGATTCTCACCAATTTTGCACGAACAAAGCACAATTTTTTTAAATATTTCTGATAAATTAATTTTAATTATTTTAAAACAGACATTTAAAAACTAAAGTCGTTGGTTAGAAAAGCAGTTATCAACGCAGTTTTCCCTCTTACACATTTCTTCATTCGCTTATGATATTTTTTTAAATATTCTAATATATATTACAGATATAATGTAAAAAAATATATTACAACGTTAACAATTCCGTCATTTGTAACAATCTATCGTTATTATTTGCAATTTTTTTATCGAAAGTGGAAAAACTGTTACGCGTGGATGCAGGTCTTGTAAAAATCAGCAACTGCTTGAATATATATCTATACTTTTACTAATTATTACAAAACTACTGAACTCAACAGAATGTAAGATGACTTATTCTCTGACTATCTACGTTAATCGTTGCCTGAACCACCAATTCTAGAGTATAATTAGAGGAAAGAATGGAAGATTTAGAATATTATAACTGCGAAATATTATAACTGCGAAATCTTTAATGCGTGACTTATTAAGAGAACTTTCCAGGGGATTATATTTCTTTAGGGAAACTTGTACAAAAATATTTGTATATTTTTCTTGTCAAAGAAACCTACCTTAATTGTAGACTCCGGCAAATTAAGTTGCGCAGCCAACTCGCATCTTCTCGGTCGAGAGACATAATTTTCACGGGCAAATTCTCTCTCTAACCGATTCAGTTGATCTCTCGTAAAAGCGGTTCTGTATCTCCTGACGTTAGGATCCATGGGGGGAATTGGCAGTTGCTGTTGCTGCTGTTGTGGCTGTTGAGACTGTTGAGACTGTTGAGGTTGTTGAGATTGTTGAGACTGTTGAGGCTGTTGCTGTTGTTGCTGAGATTGTTGAGGTTGTTGCCGGTGCGTAATGCCACGCGAGGTCGACGGCTGCGAATCTGCATGAAATAATGATGAACATTATCTTCCCCACCCTATCGAATCACTTCGGAAGGAATATGTTAAAAAAAAAGATTAAATTTGAAGGGCTCAGAACATCTTTTTGCACTATAAAATTATTTCACGCGGTTAATTCGCACACCGGCGGACGATTTTGTACCCTTCGGCGATAAACTCGGAATGTGAGCGCGAATTTTTTCTTGACTCCCGTCTCAGCTTCCAATTTAAATATTTTTAATTTTCAAGTGGGCAGAATTTCGAGAAAATTCTATACAATTCAAAGTTAGCCGAAGTTGTATAAAACCGTGCAAAGCCGTCCGAAGCTTCGCTTCTTTAAGGCGTAGGCGACGTAACAAGACAGTGATCGTTATCCCAGGCGACTTTCTTCGTTCTTTAGTGACTAGTTTACGAGCATTTACTAGTTACACAGCTTCTAACAATAAGATAATCTATTAATATAACACCGTGCAGCCAATCAATCCTTGTTTTACCGCCCATGTAGACAAACAGTAGCACGGTACTTTGAAACGTAAGTGCCGCAAGTGTCAAAGCTACCGCAGTTACAAATTTTCCGCAAAGAACAATAGAATGCAATATATTGTTAACTCGACAAGGGTCTTTTATCAAAAGCTCTAACTGCATGCAGGTAAGCATAGAAACGGACGATGAAAAGACTAGAGAACTATGGGGATCCACACTTCCGATCGATTTCTCTTTGGTTTTTTGGCGATTATGTAATTTTCGCACGATTTTCCTCTATCATTGGTTGGCGAAATACGATATTACGTGACGGAAATGATGCAAATCACATAAAAGCCATCAGTTATATCTCGAATATGTGCAGATAGGACAACATGATAATAAAGGGAAATGAGAATACCGCATCATTTCTCGGCGTCAATTCTCACGTTTTCAATTCCGAGCACAAAGGAAAGGTCACTTTCACGCGGTTGCGGTGATAATTAATCGAATTAGTTACATTTTCGAACCGACACTTGTTACAGCTGCCGCCCGTCCCTCTACTTCTCACAGGTATAAAGATACATCAAGCCTCACTAGGCGTCATGAATGCCTTCTGAATTAAACGTTGCACGAGACTCCACATTATTTCTTTAAAAATGTCTACAGTAACGTATCGTGAAGCGAAACTTGAATTCTTCGAACATTTTCCGAAATTGAATTTTCTATACAATTATTATATATATTATTACACATGTGTTTTATAAATCGAAAAGGAGACAAGAGTGTGTAAAAATAAAATTAATTAAGTTACGATTATACCAAATAATCGATAAATTATATAACAAAAATCATTTTTATCGCAGTCTTTCGCTCGTAATATTGCAGGACTACAAATGGAAATGATTTTTTATTTAGATATTTGAAGCACAAAGAAAACGCTTAAGACAAATAACTTGATGTTTCGGTTCTACTGAGCGTTCCAGGTATTTTCAGGTAGTCCAATTATCTAGCCCTCCATAAATTTTTTCAAGTTGTTGTTAACTTTCGAAGATTTCACTTACCGGTTAAGGTTTCAAGTATAACGAACTTTATTTCGACTCAGGTAGTAATATTTATAAGGTGTTTTGTGTGTAAAAGATCAGAGCTTCGGTACGTCTTTCCGGTCCAAATGACCCTCCGGTCATAAATACATCTTTACTTTCAGCAAAAACAATCATTGTACGGTTCATTAGTATCGTGATGTATATATAGGCTGCCATAAATTTTCTTTTCAAATCCTGGGTGCCAATCCGAGCACGTTAACGTTTAACGATGACTTAAAGATCGAAAACCAGTTCCTCGACATTTACGTGAATATGCACCGCGAATTACTGCTAGTAATAGGATAGACACTAATCGAAAGAATAGATATAAATATTTCGTGCATTAATGTTAACTGTCTCTTTCTCTCTCATACACACGGAATGTCTCGTAAGTCCAGCATAGGAAAACAACAAAAAAGGCAAAACTTTTTACTTACACAACTGATTCATTATATCTATTACTCAATACGTAGCAATTAACTTAATTTCTTTCTGTCAAAAAGCGGTCGATTAATGATGCTGGGCGGTAATGGCATTGCACACGTCAATTATTCCTTATAACGATGGACTTGCGAGACGTTCCAGTAGAAACGTAAACATGTAAAACTTACCGATATCGGCGCGCGAGCTACGCGACGTGTTCATCTGGTCGACGACAATATTTTCATCCTCCGAATTCTCGTCCGGGTCCTCGTCGTAGTGATTCCTCATCTCGTCGCTTTACAACAATCGAAACACGTGCGTATATTAATCACTTTGCCATGTCATACCGCACACATGCACGCGTGTAACACACGTGGTCGCGGAAGTATTCGAACGTCCGCGTGCTTGGTATCGCTATCAGGCCGAACCCTTCGAGTGTAAAATCGATGCCGGCGCGACGATATAAAATTTCAATGTCACAACTTACGAGATTGATCGGTTTCTAATTTCAAACATTTTCGTTTAACGACTTAACGCGCGGATCTTGGAAACGTTGTGGACGCGAAGAGAAGCGCGTGACACACGCTTATATAAATATATATATATAAACTGTAATGTTATTGTATCTGCAAAGTATGTGTTAAAAGGTTTAGTACGATATTTAGCTAGCACGAGCGTTCTGATGCTCTCGCGATCATGTATGTACACATTCTCGGAGGAAAAAAGTAGCGCACCCGTATGTCATTTAATATTTTTAATTACTTTTTTGAGTTTCAAGATTTTCCGAATTTGACAAATCACGTCAAAATGATATAACGCATACATCAACGATGATTTAGTTTTATTTTCTCGTCCTAAAATAAATTTCTGAATAAACCGACGGCGCTTAAGCTTCTTGTCGAAAATTGCAGCAGCTGCAAAGAAGGAGCCACAAAGTCACGTGCAATCCGTTGAAAAATATTAACAATTGTAACGAAAGGGAATGACGCGATATCGTCGGCACGTGAGCGCTTGTCATTTCGAACTTATATCTCGCGACGGGACGAGCGACGGGACAAGTTACTCGCAACGTGTCACATTGGAAATCATTCCAGATAAATTTCGAGTGTAATCACGAAACTTAAGAAAGAAACCTCGGTTAAACGATTCGCGATCTCGTCGACGCGAAAATTAAAACGCGAATGTCGCGGGGATCAAAGGTGGTAACTTACACGTGCTTTGTCTTCTTTTATCTGGTAGTTTCTGATACCGCGCCACTTGAAGCGTAATCGCACACCTCGCGGTTTTTCTCCGAGAAACGTGTAAAGAAAAAAAAAAGAAAAAAACAAACGTTTACTAATCACAACATGTGCGACGAGTCTTCTCTCTATTTTCGCGCGAGCTCCGTTCAGCACCGCGAAACCACGTGAAGTGTTTGAACTATGATCGTAGAGTGTTGAATAGTAGTCGCTCTGTATACGTATATAGCTATCCAACTCCAGCCACCAGTGTGGGGAGCTCTGCGAATGGAGGGGACGATTCCGCCTCTTGAACTGAGAGGTGGAGTCGGTAGCTCAGCATCATAGGCGTATAGTGAAGCTGTCTTCTGGTCTCTGGTGGGGAAAGCAGGATCGGCTTTACCTTCCTCGCAGACTTGGAGGCAATGTAGTGACAAAAATTTCTTTGAAAATTTCCAGAGATCAGCGTGTAAAGTGGCAAACACGATTTTACACACCAAAGCTGATCTCTACGATTATACCGTACTTAACGAACCGTTTGCTTTTACAATTAAACGATATATTGTACGCAACGTGTTAGTGTATGTAAAACAATTTTGCGAGATTAACAATATATTATCTATGAAAAGAATTTGTTATAGAGGATTCGTTTGCCACATCAGCGGAAGAAATACGTAGATACGAATTAATTTAAGATTTAGAATCGTCGGGTTTTTTACGCGAGATTGAATTTTGACATTTTTTTATCATCGAGAGAAATCTCATATCTAATAATAATTCTAGTGAGTTATATTTTTGTTATTTCGCTTTTACGTTTTTTAACCACAATTATTAATCGGCCTTGAAACGAAAAACTGCAAATAATTTATAATATCTACTAATAAATAATATTAATTTATAATATTATAAAATTAATACATGATTTAATATTACTTGTTCAAATGTCGCGCTGTATCTTCATTGCATGTGAAAGTGAATATTACAATGTGGACATAGTCAATTAAATAATATTATAAATATTAAGTAATAACGATAAAATTGACGTGATGATAAAAAATAGCGAAACTAAAACGAAATCATAAAAAATTATTTAAAAGAATTACTTGTATATTGTTTGAATCGGTAAAGATATTTACATCCATCATGGCATTTCCTGTAATAATGCGACATATTTTCGGTTCGGGAAAATAAAATCTTTTCAGCGCCTAAAGCGTTTGACGGGGCTATTGCGTAATCTTAAACACCATTAAGAAAGATGAAATGATGATATATATTGTTATCAACCATTAGATCTCAATTACATTTTATAGAAACGAAGAGAAAAGAGAGAAAGTTTTGCAGAAGATTTCCCATCAGGTTTTAGGTGAAGTTAAAATTATTTACCTAATATAAGAATTACAGAAAATTGTATATAGGAGTATTATTTATACATTATTAGCATTTTCTACTGGAAAAATTAATACAACATTGATACACACTGAGTGCGTTTAGTTTTGTCTAAATTAAATATTCAATAATTGAATTCTAAATTATTGTAATTATTTTTTGTCAATACTGCATCTTCAATTTTTATTTAATAGTTTAGCCCACGGTATAATAGCATCTTTTTTGTTTCAATAATCTCTATAGGGATGGTTTTTTTTAATTAGAAGAAAGTGATTTATCTTTTATTTAGTTTTGTTTTACTAAATTTAAATTTATAGCAATTAAACAAAGAAGAAAGAACAAAAAATACTATGGTGAGTTTTCCAGTGTCGGCAATATTAAAAGTATAAAGTATCCTTCTTGAACAATGTCCCATGTCGACGTCCTTTTGTTTAATATTAGTATGTTTATAACGCATTGATATTATACAAAACGTTAACGTTATATAAACGCACTAATATTAAACAAAAATATCGAATTTTATTTCAAATGTTTCGTGTCGTCTTAATAGTATGTCTACAATAGCACGTTTTGCGATTGACCGTTTAACGGGACTTATATATTGTTTAAATTTAAAAGAAAAACTGAAAAAAAAAACGGCTTGGTGAAAGGGATTGGTATTCGTACCAATGACGTAAATGCGGTTCAAGCATTGAAAAGCTTCCTCTTCAGACCCTTTCTCTGAACAGTATTGTAAAAGTATCACAATAAATTTGAAAATTTCAAGGTTGCTACCAGCAATAATTCTTCATTATGAAAATGCAATTTATAACTTCAAGATGTTCCGCAAAAAGATTCCATGAAAATCACGTTTTCGGTTTTGTGTCAATCACTAGGTATATATATATATCGCTTATATTTGTTATAACGACATAACTTAAAAATTATCATTTTTTAACTGTTTACAAAAAAAAGGGTGAAAATTTAATACACTGAATAAAGAGCTAATATATTATAGCTAAATATTTTTGTTTCTCTACAATCAGTTATTGCACCAAAATCGCATTTAAAAGTAATATTACCAAATTTTAATGATTCGAAACATTCAAACTTATTTTTGGGGAAATTTTGTTTTCTGAGTCATGTCATTGTTGTACACTGAAAGAACGGTTTTGCTGAAGTAAAAATTTAGCTAGATCTGAAAATAATTTTGTATCTCATCAAAATAATCATATAGCAGGTCGCTGAAGTATGATGATAATGCTGTAAAAAATTTTGACTTAGGTAGCAATCAGTTTAAGTGTGCTACATAATTATTTTGACGATCCAACAAAATCATTTTTAGATCTGTATCTAGCTAAATTTTTAGATACTTCAGCAAAAAGTGTTCTTTCCGTGTAGCAAATGAGTGATATGTATAACGATTTTCTTCAGCGTGTAAACCTAAACTTTTCAACGAACGATCTAACATCGCAATTATTACGTTGTAATATTTTTTCAATAATTATTCGAAACTTTACTGCAGTGTGACGCAAATGCTGTTAGCGTTATTACAATTTGTTGGGATTTTCATCGTGAGATTTCATAATTCCACGTCACAGCAATATCGCATTACTCTTTATCGCGTTACAGCGTTGCTAGAAGATTTTGCGTGTAAGATTTTACATGCTAGCGTGGTTTCACAATGCTAGTCATTGGCACGGAATAGGTACGTGATTGGATGTATTTAATTAATTCCGTATCTACATCTATCTATAGCCGCCAGCGTTTAACGAAAAAATTCCAACTGTGCGCTATTTGTGTGCAGGCACAATCAAATAAAATCAAGGAAACTTTTCTTTTATAGGTATATTTAACAAAGAGATTTTCTTTTATTTTAGAAGCCCATCAATAGCGGATCATATAAGATGATCTTTCTGTTACATGACTATTTTTTAAAATAACTTTTAAATGGCTTTTGTCATCATTATCTGGGCCATTGCCATTGCCATTGCCATTGCCTCCCATGCTTTTTCCTCTCAAAAACGCGAACAATGTATCGTAAAAAATTGCTCTATTTAAAAAGTGTCTACGAATTGGACTCTCATGACATTTTTTTCTTTATGGATCGCGATACCGACCTTTTATTTATCTCTTCGATTGTTCTGTTTTTCCTCCTGAGTACCGTTTCATGCGTCTGTGTCGTAAAGTATCCGGTTTTCAATGAAACATTTTTTGAACCGAAATTGGAGCATTTTTTTCGAGAAAGAATTACGACTAACAGTAACTTAAAAAATCTGCCATGCTCATTCGTCGTGCATACGCAAGCTTGACACATCCAAGGCAAAACTTTAAAAAATTATCTAATTAATCTTTCTTCCGCTGCATTTCTTTTACGCTCATATATTTTGAATTTTAACATTTCTTTTTTGTAAAAGAGAAAGTTTCAGCCAAGGTCGTCTCCTCGCTCGATCACCGATATCGATAGATATTTAATCAATTCCGCAACATTCCGCCCCAGATCTCGCGCTCGGACCTACCCCTATCTAGTTACGTCAGTGCGCACGCGGTTGCGCGTAGGTAGGGCGGCAGAGGGATGAAGAGGGTTGGAGGGACAAGAGATAATTGGCGCGAACAGCTCGGCCAGATGCGGTCGCGATCATGCCGCTGATTAAACGGTTTGATTAAGCGACTAATTTACTCGCATGCGCGCGATGTAACGTTACTTTATGCGAAATCTATAGCCCGTCCACGATCTGCTGTACGTTTCGCGCTGGTCCGCAAATCACAGCGACGGCGAAATCACGACGAGATATCAAACGGGATATCAACGGGCCTCCGTTCTCCCGGAAAACGAAGAGAATATAACGAGAAGTAACGAGAATGAAGCGGGAACGAAATGTTTTGGCTCTACATTTGTTATAGAATTATTTCTTTGTTATTTAACTAATTTATCTGTTTAATTAATTTGTTTATTATTAATTCTTCTAATTTTCTACGATTATCACTTCTTCATTATTATGGCGTATTTAGGTTTTAGTTTTTAAGGGTTTTACCGTCAATCAATGCTATTTGAATTTTCTTTCGTAACGTTTGTCGCAACACTAGTCGAAGAGCGCTATTGTTTGTTACGACCGAAATATACCTATTTATTGGCTGCATCCAGAAGCACGATCGCTCATTGAGCGCTCATTGAGCGCTCACAGGTAGCCGTTCAGTGAGCATTTTTGATGTGCTGGATATATGCTCACAACAGTTCACTATACGCATTTATATGACGTATAAGTTATAGATATTTATTTGCATTTATAATAGACATCTACGTCTCTAAAGATCTGCGTAAATATTAATTTCTATCTTTACTATCTG